TTTGACGCAAAAGAAAAGACAGGGCAGGTTCGAGCCCTCAATACACACCAATCTGTTTTTAGGGAACAGCCACCCTCTGGGTCCTGTGCACTTTCCTGGCGTCCTTGGGCACGGGGCGGTGGTTGCCCCCAGTGTCAGACTGCCTTATGCTCCCCCATTCCACCGTGATGTCCCCCTGCCTCCACCCCTTCTGATCCCGCCGCTCATTAAACAACAGGCTCAATCCTTTGGGGGCGGGGACTGTTAAACACAAAATGGCTGGCCGGGGGTGGGCGGTGTTCCCACCCCTATTGGTCAGGACCACTTCCTGTTTGGGTTGACGTCATGGGCATGGGAGCTTTTACAAGGCACAGCCCTCTCCGGTCCACAGAGCTTCTGGGGTGGAAGAGGAGCAGATGTACTACGGCATTCCTTTTTTTCTGGCCGTTGCTTGGTAAATTATTTTTTATTCGCACCTTTTGTTTTTTTGTTGCCTAGGTGAACGTACCTTCCGGATTTAACTATTTTTTCATTTCGCAGCTTTTTAAATCTTTTGTAACGTTTTATAAAACCTTTTCCATGTATTCATTTTTTTTGTATATTATAAAGGAAAATGATTGTTGGAAATTTTACTCGAAAAAGTGCCTGGGGGAGATGAGGACTTCCGTAACGGATCAGGTGCACTGGAGTAACAGCACGGCCAATGCAAAAGGAAATGATTTTTAAAGCTGGCGGGACTAAGTTTCGCCTCCGGGTGAGTGCTGGTGAGTGTTTGTAGGAAACAAGCAGCTTCGTTTTTCAGAGCTGCGCTTTACGTTAAATGTGGTCCAAACCAACGAATCATGTGATTTCTTGGAGGAAAGGTGATGGCTTCGTCGCTGGACCCACAAGTAAGTGTGGTTTAAGTTATCCTCAGAAATCTTTTGCCGCTGTCTGGCCCAGCTTCGGCGGTTAAAATTTGGAAAAATGAGCATTAACCTGTGTAGGGATTGGGAATATGGGCGAATACTAGGGGTGAAACGTAAACCTCCGGAATTTACGGAAACGTGACATGTGAAGTTGGAAACTGATCTTTAAAAATTAAACCTCAGGGATTTGAATAAACGGGAAGCGAAGCTGTAAACCCCGATGTTACGGATTAACCAGTGTGAGGAGAGGCAGATACACTCTCTTGGGTGTTGTTGGCTGGAGCTGATAACGCGTGTGTGGTATCATCCACGACTTAGGAAAGGTCCATCGCCAGCCGGTTCTTTCAGCCTCACCCCACTCTGCCCCCCTGGACAAAGCCAACACGAAAATAAAGTTATCTGTTACCCGGGGTTTGGTTCATGGCCTGTGTGTGCGGGTTTCCCGTCAGGTTGCATTGTGAGCTCCTGCTCACCAGGATGTGGATTTGAAGGTCAGGGAGGGAAGACATGACCCAGGACCAGAGTGTGAGAGATAGGAGGAATCCCGGAGCAAGTTTGCCAGCTTTTACCCCCCAAGGACGAACTGTGAATTGTGAAGGTCAGTGAAGGGAAGACCTGAGTCCCAGTCCCGTGTCTGTCTTGTCAGCTGGGTTCAGGAGGGGCCGGGTGGACAATTAGCTCGCCTTGGCCCAGCTAAAGCGCTCTGCGTACACTCCGGGATCAGAGACAGGTTAGAGAGGGACCCCTGTGTGGCTCAGGAAAGATCCGTGGAATCTTATGGATGACCCAGGGATCCAGAGGAAGGCAGGATTCAGGAATGAGCCCCGGACGAGCTGCCACTGCCCCTGCTTCCCCATCCTGGGTTTCAGCACCAAATGTTAGGTCCCCAGCCAACAGACAGACACAGGAAGCCTCATGTGTAGCAAAATGCTGTTTATTTTGAGCATCTGGGTGCCGCTGGGTGCAAGGGAAAAAGTGTCCATGAGAGAAAAAGGGAGAGCCTCGGTTTTATAGAGGGATTTTGCAGGGAGTAAGTGAGCCAGAACAGCCATTTGTGATTCATTCTTTTGCAAACAACCAACTTCTGAGATGCCTGCCCCAGTCCCACCCATCCTTCGGCTCTGGGGTGGCTCCTATCAGGAGAGCTAGGCAGGGATGAACTTGGTCTCTATCAGGGAGGGAGGGGAGGGGGGAGGAACGCTGGCTGCAGCTGGCTGTGAGATTTACAAAGTCTGGGGACTCCCCAGGCTGTTGTTTTACAAGCCTAAGGTTTGCATTCACCACATTCTGTCCTGTGCATACTTTTTGGGTTCCCACCTGGAACAAACCTAACATTCCCTATCCTCAGTTCTTAAGGAGGCCATTTCTACACGGTTGCCAGTTTGATTCCTCCTATGAAAGCAGGACAGGTCCCCAGAAGGCACCCACAGTTTGCACCTATTCCCCCATGGAGCCTCCCCCACGGAGGCCCAAGGCTCTCAATCGCCCTGACGACTCAACTCCAGAGTTTCACCCCCTGAAACCTCCCCATGCCCTAAACCCAGGCAGGCTGGGAGTCCTCAGCAGCCCAGACCCCAGGGAGACCTCCTCCCCCATCCCGGGGTTCCCTTCACACCCAGACCCCTCCCCTCCTCCAGTACAGCCCAGAGACTCCCCCCAACCTGAGCGGGAAATCGCCACACAAACAGCCATGACACGACACCCCGGGTAAATGACACTTTATTCCCATGTTGCCTTTGTCAGGGGGGCAGAGTGGGTGAGATCAAAGAAACCGCTCACGATTGATATTTC